TTTTTTTTATCCAAACTCCCTTCACAAGCATCCTTTCCATTCATTGACAAAATTTTTCACAAGTGACATTTTTGCAGCCAAAAAATCAGAAAGGTAAAAAAAGACATTTTTAGTGACCTTTTTTCAACATTTTTAATAAAAACATTTACAGCTTTCTCCTTGACCTCAAAGAGTTTTTCCCCTGACCACTTTTATGTAATTGTGTGGAAACCATTTAATAGGCAACTCATTTTGGGAATATCAGTTTACCATTAACAGACTCTTGTCAACTTTTCATCCTCTAGTATTTAAGTTATGGCCAGGTGCACAAAGAAAAAGCAATGACAGTAATGGATTGTTACCTTCATGAACAGTGATTCCACAGTTATCACATTCCACTATTTCATCCCCTTCATCACTGTAATACATTTGAAAAAGATTGTGTTAGAAATAAATACAAAATAACGGTGAAATTCAATGTACAACTTTATTTCAATAGTAACTATAATCATCTCTATCTTATTGAAACCTTCAAGGGAAACTGAAGATTTGATTTTTAGGGAGTTGAGATCAAATGATTTAAAATACCAAGGATATAATTACAATATATATGTAAAACAAAAATAAAACAGACATTGATTTTGGTTCATATCAATTCATAAAATTTGAACTAGCCAAGGTTCAAGTTATTGGAAGTGGAATAAGCTTTGAAGAAAGTAGCAAACAAAAAATTATTAATCTACATATTACCAGCTTTAATACACAGCTTTGTTGCAAACCTGGTTCATTTATCATTAGTGATTTTATTCTTCTATGATATCACCTCACAATTAACCTTGGTTTGCCTAAAACCCCTTGAAGCAAGGTAATTAAACACTTAATGGTAATTATACAGAACAAAAGTTCATTTCCTCAATCTATGATTTCATCACAATTTTCCATCTTTTTCCTAAACCTTTTCATCTCAGTTAGAAATACTTTTCAAGAAGTTTTAAATTTCATCTGTTTTGAAAACTTGGTACCAGTATGTTAAACAGTGCTCTTGGAAACTTACCTTAATCATGGATTGAAGAGTCCTTACTACCCATATTATCTATACATACATTGTTATTACAAACATCAACTCAAAATGAAGTCAAATGTCGACAATAACTCTACATTAATTATACGTGGAAGAGTGAAAATGTAACAACAGTACTACATGTTGTTTATTACCAGCTTTTGGGAATTTTAATTTAATAAGCAAAAAATACTAAAAGCTAAAGTATCAAAGTCTTTCAAAAGTATTCACTTACCTAATGTCATCCAGGCAGATTCCACAAATTAATATGTCCACCTTCTTGGATGAAGCTGAAACTTCACTGGAGGCCTGCAAGAAAAATGTTTGAAACTGATTAATAAAACCGTTGACTCCTAAACAGACTTTGATTGATCATGGATTATTTGAAGTAATTACATTCAGAAAATAGTATGAAAAGCCTTACAGGATTCTGTTTTTAGTTTATTAGGGGATCAATTACAAGAAGGCTGTGAATATCATGCCACAAGTTATTGCAAGTATTTTAAATACAAAAGAGACTCAAACAATTATCAATTGGTCATAAATGAGGCTTTCAAGCAAATATTGATCTTTTGGTAGTGCATTAATTTAGCCTTTTGTTATAAAATCTAAACCTTGATGAGAGTATGTGAATGCTAGAATTAATAATTTCAGGTAAAACTTTGCATACTATTATTTGATCCCTCAATTTCCTTTGTTTCTTAAATGTCTATTAACTGTCTCATAATCAGGATTAAGAGAAAAGAAAATTTAGCATTAACAATAGGTACAAACTGTTTCATCTGAGACAAATATTCAACAACAGTTAATACAGAATACATGATTATGAGGGATTTATGATTACAAACAAATATACATTCATTATATGTGTAGTTTGCCTAGTTTGCTTGGGGGTGGTCATATCATTTGCTAACTATATTTTGTTGTTTGTTTATCACATTTCTTAAAGAAATAATAATTTAATTAGCAAAAGTAATTTCAGGATATTTCAACAAAAAATAAATTAAATAAAATTGGATTTGAATCTAGCCTCTGATGCCCCTTTGCATGTAATAGAACTGATAGAATTTTAAATTGATTTACCACTGAGCTTGGTTGACTGGTGACAGCTTTAGCCTTGGTTTTCATAACTTCTATCAAGTCACCTACAGTAAGAGCACTGACAGCTGTCAAGGATTCACTTCCATCTTCATCATCATCATCGTCGTTGTCGTCGTCAATGTCATTTTCATCATCATCATCATCTTCGCTTACTTCTTGTACTTTTTTGGTGACTTGACCTTTATCTTGCTGCTCTGTTATACCAGTCTCTTCATCTGAACCAGAACCTCCTGATGAATAACATGCAATTACAACTGGGCAAATCACTAGGCTTGATTTTCAGAAATTATCAATCAATCAATTAATCATTATTTAAAAGGTAAGTTAAGGCGTAGAGGCAGCCAAAATGCAGCATATTAAATACTGCATAAGGGCAAACATCATCCATGAGTTTGGCAGATGGTGTTGTTAAAACATTGATGTGATAAGCTGAAAATGTAGGGTAAGAAATTCTCTCATTTTATTGAGGAATTGAAAGCTTCAACTATTGTTAGTTCTGGTATGATTAGATTGTTTTTCCCAGAATTTGCCTGAGCCAATTTACCTTTGTGATATTCTTTGTATTCATTCATAAGTTTCAATTTCCTTTCTAATACTGACTTTCATATGAGCTATTGAGATCCAATGACTTCAAAATTAAGAAGGTTTGAGTAGGATTCTAGAACAAAGTGAAAAAGAAAGATGCTGCCTAACCAAGTTTAATGAGGAATTTCAATGAAAAAAAAAAAAAATGGATCACGTCACAATGATGTTTGATGAAAGGCAAAAAATTTTGCAAACTCTGCCTGCTTTCACCACAGCTTTGTTCTGCTAGATTCTGTTTTGATAAGAAAAAACAATAGCCTGGGTCTAAAATGCTCTCCTTCCAAAAGATCCAAAACAAGAACAAAATGGAATCACTTATCACATATCACTGAAAGGAACAAAATACAAAATTTAGCAAAAAGACAAATTCAGGGTAATGCTCAACAACAAAATTGTACTTTTGTATTGAGGAAATGGGACAATTTTAAGAAAAATGATAGGAAAAAACCATAAAATACCAAAACGAGATCTGTTAAACCCTTCGATCAAAATCAAAGAGACTTAAAGGAGTCTGAGGGATATCAGCACCTTCATCATCATCTTCATCATCATTAAGCTCAAAATCTGCATCCTCTTCACTGTCTTCACTGTCCTCTCCAAGAGCCAATTGAAGGAGAGAATTGTTACCAGCTGGTTTTATCTGCCTCTTGTTTGGACCTCTGTTTACTGACAAATAAAGCAAATACTTTTTACATTCAACACTATTTTATCACAAGCATTCCCTGATCTAATCTTCCCAACACTGTGGCAAGCAAAATAAATTTATAGGTCTTCCACTCCCAAAAGAATGAAAGGGAAATTGACATTTTTAAGCATACAGATCTTTTCTATTAAGGGCACTTCACCACCAACATTGAAGAAAAAATTATTTCAGAGAGAACTTACTAAGGTAGATATGATCAGAACTTTGAATAGAAGCTTCCCTCAGGACAGGGTGGGACACAAATACTTTAACCCAGCAAGATATCTGAGAGCATTTTTTTGGTTAACCTGTGATAGACTGACATCCCATTCAGTAGGAACAGTTTAGTGCATGCCACTATGATCCTGACACTTGCTAAAATTTGCTCAGTTGATTCCCTTTGGCAATTAGTCAGTTTACTGGGGTAATGACCATTTTTTCAAATTTCTGACATACAGTCATATCCCTAATCCCATACCCAGGTGATTCTCAGCTCCAAGGGAGCAGTCAAATACCAAATCCAAGACATTTAGCACTTTCTGGTCAAATCCCGATCCCATAAATAGTGTACTAAAGGTAGCAAAAGAACTCATGTTTCAGCTTCATAATCATAAAAGCACCCTTTATTCAAAACTGACAGACTCAACTAAATACTCATGAAAATAACACCCTTCCTTTCTTGACATTGTTTCCGTTATTTGCCACTGTTTGCAAATTTGGTACCAGGCTGCTATCTGTCACATTTACATCAGAGACATGTAATACCTAGAGACAATTAACTTTCAAACGTTCTTCCTTCTTTGGTTGTGTTACATAAAGAGTCTCATAACCATATGCCAGATAAGGTAATTGTATGGCAGCGGGTTTCCTAGTTCAATTATCTTTCATTCCGTTTACCGATGTACGGCGGCATAATCACTTTGACACATGGATGTCCAAATTACGAATTGTGACAATAAAATCCGACAGAAACAATCAGCCTCCTCACTTCTATATTACCAATTAACCATTTTACACTACTTCGCTTACATAAAAATAGTCATGGATAGAAAATACTTACAAATTGACTTTAGAAAGGTGTCCTTCTCTAACGCTTCTTTATCCGCCATATTGATTGAATGTTAATTACACGTAGGGACTAGTTACTAGGTACTATTGCGTGACCAACGTAACGGGCGCCCGAGGGTAAACACGGGCGGAAATAGGGTAGGAACATCATGTATGGGCTATTATTATGTCCTCAATACATATTATGTCCTATACTTTAAATACATGTAATGTGCTTTACATACAACACCCTACACACACATACAGGGCTAAACAAGGCTAGATACGGCTATAAACAGCTCTACAGGGCTATGCACAGCTCTACAGGGCTATACACAGCTCTACAGGGCTATACACAGCTATACAGG